TTATCCTCCTGGAGCATTATTTGTAAAATGTACTCATCATTCACCATTGAAATAAAAGTCCTAAGAACCTAGCCCTCTAGAGGTGGTATTAGTGGAATAGCATCTTCTTACTTTTCGATCTAAATTAGCTCTTCAAGCTAGTAAGCATCACAGACTTCTAGAGCAAGGAAGAAGCTTTCAGCTTGTCTGTTTGTACCTTTTCCTTCTTTGACAGAGGAACAAACTAAGGCGAAGAGAAGGGGAAAGGACTCATCCAAGGTCACATGGTTCTTCTATAGCAGAACTAAAACTAGAATCAAGGTGCCCTCTATTCTAGGCCAATACTTTTATTGCTGGAAACAACATAAGATCTTTTTGCTGCTCCCCATACACATTAAAATGAGCTAACCTAGTTTTTCAGAAGTTTATTTTTGAAAACTAGGATGTTTCCATTCTAGTTAACCACTTGATCTCTTCCTCAATGAGGGTAGGGGGTGGGGAAATATCCTCCATCAGTATCAGGAAATGACTTTAATGATCTGTATTTTGTGAGTGTGGGCATTCTCTCCTCTGGTACAGGTTACAACTCCTCTATAGTCTGAGTAGAGAGGTGGTCTTTGAAAGTTGTTGTGTGTGTAATATGATTATACATGCATAGCCTATGTCAGACTGTATGTTGTCTTAGGGCGGAGGGAAAATTTAGAACTAAAAATCTTATAAAAATGAATTTTGAAAACTAAAAATAAATAAATTTAAATAAAAGAAAAGTAAGAGGCACTGAAAAAAAAAGCAAGTTGCTGTGGCAGAAAAAATTCATCCCAGTCATTCACTAGGTCTGAATTCAAAGCCCTTCCAACTTGCTAAGACCTCGGTAGAATTTGTATTCTGGTAGCACAACCTTCAAGGCTTACCTCAGCACCACAAGAAAGCATCAGAGCAAGACTTCAAGTGAAAAAAGAAACTAGTAGCTAATAAAAATTTCATCTGGAAACTTTACTAAGGAAGGGTGATTACAGCTTTGCCCAAGGGCATAAAAATATAAAGGGTGCAGATAGCACTTGTACTTCTTCAGCATGGAAAAAACAACTGAGCAACTAGTTAGCAGTAAAAGTTAGAAAAGAAAGATGTCAGATGGCATGCATGCTTCCTTTCCCAGCATCCTTTTGGTGTGCCAAGATCTCCATCTCTTCCCTCTCCTCCCTCCCCAATGAGGTAGTGTACAGGTTTCCCCTTCATGTTTCAAGGTCCAAGGTCCCTCCCCACTTACTTCCTCCAACTGAAGAAGTTTTTAAAATGGTGATTTAAGGGCATATTTGAAATGCTTGTGCCAGGCATGTTTTGTGAAGCCCTCCCCAGGCGGTCAAAATTATTAGTTATGGTTGTGTGTTCCTCAGAAGATAATAGCTTGTGCTCTGGTAAGAACAGTACCTTCTACTTCCTATTCCAGCCTAATATCAAGGCTCAGCTAATATGCTCCCAAGGTCATAGCCATCTGATAACAGAAAGCTCTTTGAATAAAATGGGCACAGTTGGGCCACAGGAGCTCAGGCAATGGGTTTGAAAAACTGTTCTTCCTTCTACATGGCTTTACCTAACCACTCAAGGAAGGAAACAATAGGACATCTTAGGGAGGGCTCACAAACAAACAGCAAGAGCAAAGGAGAAAGTTTGAGGTGGCATTGAAGGTTTCCTTGGCTTTTATTATTATCTGCATTTCCTCAACTATAATTGTCAGAATTAATTTCCCTGGAGGATGACTTATGATCCTGAGAAGTGGCATTTTTCTTCTGGAATTTATCTTATTGACAGCAGCTGGTTCAATGAAATACTCATCCACTTAACCTTTGATGAAGCAAATAATTTAGTCCAAGACCAACTAAATAGGAAGTTCTGATTAAATTCTCTGGTTTAATTTTTTGGGGTGTGCATGTGGAAGGAAAACCAATAAATAATTTCATTAATATAGAGAGTTACCCAGAGACAAAAAAAACCCCTTCACTAAAGCAGATCAATGTCTCCTCTGTCACTTAAGAATCTTGGAGAGTTGTCTGAGACACTGAGAACTTAAATCATTTGCCCAGGGTCACACAGCCAGTCCACGTCCAAGGTATGTCCTGAACCCAGATCTTCTTGACTCTGCAATCAGCTCCTTCTCTTTACATTTATCCCCATTATTTTCCAGGTGTTTAAATATGTTGAGAATCAGTTTTATATTTTGCCCTTAATTGTAGTTGGAAGAATGATGGACTTAGAGCCAGAAGACTGTGATCTAGACAGAACATTTTCTCCAGTCAGGTCTCAGTTTCTTTCTCTCTAAAATGAGGGGGTTGAATAACAATCTCAGACAACTCAAACTTGGGTTTAACATTTGGGGACCTGGTGATAACAAGAAACTCTATTCTTTCCTGACCCAGAGAGAGGACAAGCTGACCTTAACAAAGATTTATCAGGGCAACTGATCTTTGATGAAAGTTTGTCAAACTTCACAGAATCCCAGAGTTAACAGGGACCTTAATGGACTCCTAATTCACCCACCTCACAACAGAACAGAAATTCTCCCTATCAAATACCCTACAAGGAGTAGACCAGTCTCTGTATTTGACTTTTGGACAACTAAACACCACCTAGTTCCTTCTGTTAATCTTTAGATGGCAGGATTCTCTTATCCTGTTGGTCATTCTCTACCACCACCCCCCACCTCCTTTTGGATACTCTTCAGCTTGGCAATGTCCTTCCTATAGTGTGGCCCCAAGGAACTAAATGAGGCTCTTCTGTTGCTGTCTGATCAGGGCCAAGTATACAAAAGGGACGGTTACTTCCCTCACTCTGGAAATTTTGCATCTATTAATGCAATCTATGATAGCTATAGCTTTTTGGCTACTACATCTCACTTTTGGTTCATATTTAGCTTGCAGATCACCAAAACCTCTAGATTCCTGTGCTGTGCTACTATCCCCGACCCCCACCCCACTCCCACCCCCACCCACCCCTGTGGTTGTTTAGTCATGCTTGCCTTTGTCTATCTTACGCTTGTGTTTTGTTGTTCAGACATTTTTCTGTCATGTCTAACTCTTCATGACCCCATTTGGGGTTTTCTAGGCAAAGATACTGGAGTGATTCGCCATTTTATTCTCCAGGTCACTTTACAAATGAGGAAACTGAAGCAAACAGAGTTAAGTGACTTTCCCAGGGTTACACAGCTAGTAAGTGTCTGAAGCCAGATTTAAACTCATGAAGATGAGTCTTCCTGATTCTAAGTCCAGTGCATCACCTAGCTGCCTTATGTGTCCTATGCCCTATGCTTTTATAGTTTATAATTTTTAAATTTAAATGTAGAACCTTCCATGAGTCCTGTTAAGTCTCATCTTGAGGCAGAGGCCAAGTCAAGCTTTTGTTTTATGGTGCTTAACAGAACAATGCTACTAATATGACTACTCCTTGGAATGACAAATAGTGTTCTTAATATTTTGAAGTTATTTGCAAAAGTAAAAACAAAAACATGAGATTGGCAAAAAACATTTTTTTTAAAAAATGCAATCAAATATAAGTTTTTATATGGCTCATTGGATTTTTTCCTACTTCTCTTCTGCCTTTTGTCTCAGTCACAAGCAGAACTGAGAAGAAAGAGCATAGGGAGACAATGAGTGCCTTTGCAGAAATACATCACTCTGTACCTGTCACTTATTCTTCTCTTCCCTGTCTAATAGTGAAAACAGGGCAGTCACCCTAACAACATCCTTCAGCCCCTCTGCAGTGGTTGTAATCAATTCCCACAGTGAACAGTGCCTTACCTAGTCCTAATGTGTCCAATTTGATTTACTAATGGATTCAGGAAAAAAAATGTTTCTCAGAGCTGCCAAATTCTTCGAAATCAAATTCTACCTCCCAAGTGTCTAAAAGGAGGTCAGGGCACCAGCTGTAGTTCACTGGAAATCCCATTCTGAACTGAATTGTCATTGTGGGAGTGACCAGAGACAATACATTAAGTAACTCTGAAGGAAACCAGCACAGAGTCAAATCAAACCAGAAGTTGGGGGGAGGGGGAGATGAAATCACTATGACATGAAACAAAGAGAAATGAATATTTGGAAACAAACAAACAACCAAAAAAAAAAAAACAAGAAATGCATTTCATGCCCAACATATGGGGAGGCAAATGAGAAATAAATGGGAGGTAGATGATGTTTTCTTGTTATAATCTTTTAAATGCCCCATGAGATAATGGTATGAGCCTGAAACCACCCTGCTGTGCATGGGTCATAGCCAGCATAGAATTCAGCTTGCTGGAATCACTTGAAACTCATAATCCTCAGAAATTTTCTTTGAGGGTCAAATTACATCATCTTGGTACTGGCAAATCCTGCTGGCATTCTCTGCTTCTGATTTAGAGGAAGCTAATTTGGTAACTGATTTCCCATGATTCCATTTATGTGAGTGAGATCTGGTTTGTGAAGATACAGGACCACTGTTTGGTGGGGTGGGGGCTGCCAGATGCCAAGCACATGGGGAGACTATTGACAGTGATAACATTAAGGCTGCTGAGCAGGGCAAGATGCATTTAACTAGCAGCTGGTGCCCAGACTGATTGTAACAAAGGTAAGCTGCCCAGCGAGGACCACAGACCTTTCTTTATGGGCAAAACTCATTTGTTAAGGCAGTGATTTCAAAAAGGAGAGTCTAGCCCTAAAGATATGTATGTGTTGTTCTTCTACCTCAGCCTGAGAATCAGAAGAAAAAGATACTTCTGTGACACCCAGGCTTTAAGAAGGAGTTTAGAAATCAATCATTTGTTCATTATATAACTTTTAAAAAAATATTTTGACCTGTCTCTAATGTATCTCTAATGAAGTAAAAATAAGCCCTTCTGCAGGAAGGGAATTATGGGAAACATAATGAAAACTTCAGTCCCTGAGGAGTAAGGGTAGTCAGGATAGAAAAGGCACAGTTTAAGAGAGGTTCGTTACAAATAATGGTGTCATCAGCAGCAGTGTTTTCAGAAGGCTGATGAGACAGGTCCTTACAGAGGCAGATCTTTGACTGTTTTCCCAAAGTCTGGATCAGATGCCGTCTTATGGCTCCCGTCCTTTAACTGATGCGTTTCAGACACCCTCATTACCACATAGCGCTGAGATCCTGGAAGAAGATGAAAGGGACATTTAAAGGCAAATGGTAAGAATGGGAAAGTATCCTGTAAGTCAGCTTATTGAGAATACCCACAATGCTCAGTCAGGCAAATTGTGTTTCTAACACCTTCATTTAAAAATCCTACCTGAACACCCCTAACTCCTCTATCCACTTTCTTCAAGCATGGGGCCAGTGGTTATAGGATGGCTAGGACTGGGTAACTTGAAGGCACAAGGCCCTGCCAATATATGTTGATTTGGATTTTTCACACATCTCATTGTGAGACAAGGGAGTACTGTGGAAATCAAATTTGGATGGGATTTTTGCAAGTTCTAGCTTTCCCTCAGTTCATCATCTTTGAGGGCCCACTCAGACTCTGCAGAGACAGCAGAGCTTTGAGCAATTTATTTTAGGGGCAAAAATGCCAGAAAATGTGGAATTTTTTGGAGGAGGGTACATGGGGGAGGAAGAAATTATTCCCATGTACGTCCAACAGCCACCAGGGGGCCTGTCTGATGAATGAGAATAGGAGATGGAGGTCAGATGGGCAGCTTAGAGATGAGGGCATGGAGGAAAGCAAAATGATTTAACCAGACACTAATTCCACAGTCACAACTGTATCCTGTTTCTTATTCGTATGTACTCATAAATCAGTATGCTGTAAAGGGAAAGAACAGAGAGCCGAGGTTTGCTAACTTGCAGCAGAGGCTAGCCACAAGCAACAAAGGTTTAGGCTCCCCCTGCACCCCGAACCCCCATTCACAATTAGTAACTGTCCAAAGTATTTAACTCTGGTGCCTCGGCTCAGTCTCCTTCATACACTTGACTAATCCAGAACAATCATGTTGGAAATGAGGCTTAAAAGGCTTTCAGCAAAGGGGAAGGTGAAATGGAGGGTGTGGGCTGCCTCTCTCTGCACAAGATTCTCCTTCCTGCCCCAAGATGCCTTATTACAGGAGAAGGACTAGGAAAAGGAAGTGCCTACCTGGCAACTGACGAGGGTAGCCAAGGATGGGGATGGAAATGAGGAAGGCAGATGCACCAGCCCCTAGGAACCCAATCCACCAGGCCCCAACCCACAAAGGGTTTTCTGTAGTTAGTTCAGTCCTGAGGTAGGGGAAAAAAGAAAGTGATGTCTCAAACTGCTGTTTATTGTAAATCCAGACAGAACTTTTCTAATGGGATCTGATTATTCTAGGTCAGTATATGGTACTGATAAATAGGCTCTTTATTCTGATGCAAAAAATAAGAGCTGCTCCCATTCCCATGATGCCTGTGGATTGTAGACCAACACCAGGAAATACCATAGAAGCCATCTAGTCCTACCCTGTCATTTCGCCAATAAGGAAACTGAGGCCCAGAGAGGTTAAATGACTTCTTTAGGGTCACATTGGTAGAAAAGTGCTGGAGGTGGAATATGAACCCTGACCTGCTGACCTCAAGGTCACTGCTCTTTTTGGGGAACCCCACTGCCTCTTTGTTACAGTACAGTTTGTGAAGCCCTTTTCATAACCCTGTGAGGTAGGCTATATAAGTAACATCATCCCCATTTTGTAGATGAGGAAATGGAGACAGAGGAGAGATTGGATATCTGTAGGTAGGTGGGTATGTAGGTAAGTAGATAAATAGATAAATAGGTAGGTAGGTAGAGAGATAAAGCATCAATGTAATGCTTACTATGTTTTAGGCATGATGCTAAGTGGTGGGAATACCAATACAACAAGCGAGATAGTCCCTGCCCTCAAGAAGCTAATATTCTAATGAGAAGAAGACTTCACATAAAGGGGACCTGGAAAAGAGGGAAGTACATGCAGTGGAGTGGCCTGGAGCAGTCCAGGCTTTGCCCAAGGTCAGGCAGCTATTAAGGGATTTAAGATCTGGGTTTCAAACTTAGCGCTCCAAGGCCTTCACTCTTTCCACCACACCATGCGGCCTCTCAAGCAATTCTAATGATGGATTTAGGCACCATGCTTTCCAGCTAATGTGCCTAGTTCTAAGGATTTGTGTGAGGAACTACAGTAAACTGATCTCTCTCCAAAATAATCATAATGGGGCCCACAGATACCAGGCTTCCTATTTTGAGGTCTAGGAGCAGCAGGCGTTCCATGGACGAGCAAATGCAGTGTATTCTATCCCCCAGCCATTAAAGCTAAAACAGTTCAAATGAGATGAACAGATTGCATATCTGGGACCTCATAAAATTTTCTAAGCAGGAGCAGAGAGGTTCAACTAGAACCAGCTGGAAGCTTGCAGCAAAAGGATCTTTATGAGTTTGGTTATAACTTACATGCAAAAATATATTTTTTCCTAACTGAAAATATAAATGAGAAGAAAATAATTTGGCGGAATTTTAGTCTAATTGGTAATTCAGCCCCACTGTGGAAACTACTCATAATATTATATTAGAGTTGGGAGGGACTTTAGAGGTCATCTCGTAACTCCTTTATTTTACAGATGAAGAAACTGAAGCCCAAAGCAAATGATTTGCCCCTGATTTATTTTTGTTGTTGTTTAGTCATTTCAGTCATGTCCAATTCTTTGTGACTCTATTTAGGTTTTCTTGCCAGAGATGTTGGCGTGGTTTGTCATTTATTTCTCCAGCTCGTTTTACAGATGAGGAAACTGAGGCAAACAGGGTTAAGTGTTGCCCAGGATCACACAGCTAGTAAGTGTGTGAGACCAAATTTGAACTCAGGTCTTCCTGACTCTGAATCCAACATTGTATATACTACACTAAACACGCTGCCTCTGTTTCTAGATTCTGGGCAAGAACCCCAAGGTTGCCTTTCCACTCTGAGTCACCAGATAAGATATCAGGAGAGCTCCAGGTCTGTTATAGAAGAGGAAAATAAGAAGAGTGACTCATGGCACAGGGAGCCAGATCTTTAGGGCTAGAAAGGACTTGAGGAATCATTTGCTATGACCTCCTCAAATATCCCAGGCTAATCACACACAGTCTGCTGGAATCCTCTAAAAGATTTGGGGCAATGGAGCAACATAAAAAACTTTTGGGGAGGAAGGAAATAGTCCAACATGGGTAGGATGAAGGCTTGGCTTTTGCAGAGCTGTTAAGGACATCTACAAGCTTGTTTGGCCAAGAACACCACTGTAATGCCTTCTATTTTTTTCCAAAAGACCATGAAAAGTGTAAAGGAGAAATGAAGTTCCAGTTGCAGCAAGGGTTTTGTGAGGCATCCACCATACATTTTTGGTGCATGCAATAGTAGCAACATTTGATACACCTATTCTTCAATATGTAGCAAGATATTGGAATTTGTAACAGCTGTAAAGCTTTAGAAAGACCAAGGACAAGGAAGTCCATCTGTGGAAAGATTTCAAGGTGTGGAAATTCCTGAAATGAGGCTCATAAATATAAAATAAATCCAACTAGACAGCTTGGAAAAGGAAGCCTAGTAAATATAATGAGGGAAAATGTTAGTAGTTCACTGAATGGAGTTTGGTAATTGCAAATAACAAGCAACAACAAAATCAATCTAAGGAAAATTTCAATCTTTATGAAAAAGGCTCCCCCCACCTCATTTTTTGGGTCTTACAGTATGAAGAAATCCTGCTGTGGAAACTCAGTTGATTCTTGTTGACTGACCGATGCTGATACTAATTGCCTGTAATCAATGGTCTTAAAGAGTGGCTTAAGGAACTGAGAGGTTAAGTGATTTGCCCATGGTCATATAGCTGGTAGGTGTCAAAGGCAGGATTTAAATCCAGGTTTTCCTGATCCCAAAGCTCAATTGTCATGCCACGTTGCCTCTCATGTGTCCTTTTTCTCTGGTTAGGATTTCCATATTCCTGCCCTTCCCTCCCACCCACCTCTCCAGACAGATAAAAACAATCCAACTAGTCAACAAGAGAAAAATGTAAAAGGTAAAAAATTGGAATGTCAATTGCCTCCTAAAAATGGTTTTATCAGCAGAATCTCTCTTTCCAAAGAACTCTTAGATTGTGGTCCAATACCACTACTGGGAGGGCATTTAACCCTCTGGCTCCCATTCATAATGTCCTACCACAAGTCTTTCTTCCCTGTGAGCATTGGAAAGCAACTGTGAATCTTAGCCATTACCTGTTTTGTTACTAGAAAGAAGAACATGAGTCATGGAACTAGAACTCCTTGGAAAACAACATATGCTTTGTTTGCAATTAAAGAAAGTTTTACTATCAATTGGGGAATGGCTGAACAAGTTGTGGTATATGAAATGGAATACTATCGTGCTATAAGAAATGATGAACAGGATGATTTCAGAAAAATCTGGAAAGACTCATATGAACTGATGCAAAATGAAGTGAGCAGAACCAAGAGAACATTGTGCACAATATAAGAGCAGTATTGTGTGATGATCAACTGTGAGTGAACTTAGCTCTTCTCAGTAATACCATGATCCAAGACAATTCCAAAAGACTCATGATGGAAAATACTATCCACATTCAGAAAAAGAACTGATGGAGTCTGAATGCAGATTGAAGCATACTATTTTCCCTTTATTTTTTGTGTTTTTTTTTTCTTTTGTTCCATTTCTTCTTTCACAATATGACTACTATGGAAATATGTTTTACATGATTGTGCATATATAACCTACATCAAATTACTTATCATTTGGGGAGGGGGAGAAAAATTTGGAACTCAAATTTTTTTAAAAAATGATTAAAATTGTCTTTACATGTAATTGGAAAAAATAAAATACTATTAAACATAAAAAAGCTTTAAAAATTCAGAGAAGGTGTGACTAGACAGCAGTTTGTCTGAAAAAAAAGATATAGGAGTATTAGTGAACTGTAAGCTTAATATGAGTCTACAGTACCATTTTTTAGCCAAAATAATAGCTAGCATTTACAAATACTATCTTATTTTTCTTCACACCAACTCTGGGAAATAGGTGCTAGAATCATTTCCATTTTGCTGATGAGAAAACTGAGACAGACAAAAGTCAATTGATTTGCCCAAGGTCACAAAACTAGAAAGCAAGGCAAGATGTTAAACTGGGTCTACTTGATTCCAGGTTCAGCACTTCCATTGTACCACCTGCCTGCTAATAAGATCTTTGGATGTGTGAAAATCACTAATCATTTATTAAGCACTTACTGTGTACCAGGCACTGTGTAAGATCTTGGGATGGGAAGTGACAAAAAGACAAAAAGAAAGAGAGAGAAATCATCCCTGATCTCAGGAAGCTTACGTTATGTTGAGAGAACAAGTACAGATATAAGGGTAGACAGAATAAATACAAAATAAATGGAAAGGATTTAAACTACAAAGTAGCTTTGGGGAGAGAAGTTATCAGCAGTTGGGGGGGATCAGGACAGGTTTCCTGTAGAAGGTGGTACTTGAGCTTCACCTTGAAGGAAGTGAGAGATTCTATGAAGTGGAGATCAGGATGGTGTGAATTCCATGCCAATACAAAGGGACAGAAAAAGGAGATGGAATGCTGAGGGTGTGGAAAAACATGGGTTCAATTTGGCTGAATCATAGTGTGAGAAGGGGTGTGATGTGTAACAAGACAGGAAAGATTGGTTGGTGAAAATTTGGGGAGGGCTTTAAAAGCCAGACTGACGTTTACACTTTATCCCAAGGCCAGGAGGAAACCAGTAGAGTTTATTGAGTAGAAGATTGACGTGGTTAGATCTGAGCTTAAGAAAAAAATCAGTTTCAGGGGCAGCTGGGTGGTGCAGTGGATAGAGCACCGGCCCTGAAGTCAGGAGGACCTGAGTTCAAATCCAGCCTCAGATCAAACACTTGACACTTGCTAGCTGTGTGACCCTAGGCAAGTCACTTAACCCCAATTGCCTAAAAAAAAAAAGAAAAAAAGAAAGAAAAAGAAAAAATCCATTTCAGCAGCTGTGTAAAGGCTGGATTGGAGTGGGGAGAGACTTGAAAGCAGGGAGACCAATTAGGAAGTCATTGTGAGTCTAGGCAAGAGGACACCAGAGCTTGAAATAAGGTGGTGGCTGCATGTGTAGAGAGAAGGGGTCAGATGTGTGAGATGTGGAGTTAGAACCAATAAATTTGTCAACTGATTGGATTTATAAGATGAAAGAGTAAGGAATCAAGGTTTAATGCTGAGGTTATGAATCTGGGAGACTGGGTGGTACCATTGACAGAAATAGGCAAGTTTGGAAGGAGGTTTGTGGGAAAAGACATGGTCAGTTTTGGACTGCAAGTGGAAAGAGACTAGGACTAGGAAGGTGATTGGAAATGGCAAACCATTCCAGAATCTTTATCAACAAAATCCTAAATGGGGGTCACTGAGAGTCAGACATGACAGAAACAACTGAACAACAACAGTTATTCTACCCTAGTCAGATCACACCTGGACAGTGTGTTCAGTTCTAGCCGTCAACTTTTAGGAAGAATATTGATAAATTAGAAATTATCCCATGAAGGGCAACCAGGATAATGAAAGATAATTAAGATCATATCAGATGAGGATCTTCTGAAAGAAATGGAGATGCTTAGGCTTGGAGAAGAGTAGATTGGAGATACATCCTCAAGTATTAAAAGGGATGTCACATGACAGAAGGTATAGATCTGTCCAGCTTGGCCCCACAGGACAGAAGTAGGAGCAATGAGTAGAAGCTGCAAAGAGAGGTAATATAAGGAATCTTTCTAACCATTGGAGCTGTCCAAAAGGAGAACGAGTTTGATAGGAAGTGGGTTCTCCTCCTCATTGGAGGTTACATAACGACTAGATGGCCATATATCAGCTATATTACAAGGAAGATTCTAGTTCAGGTATGGATTTGACTTGGGAGTATGCTGAAGTTAAGTTGAGGCTGGCTCTTAGAACCGATTGTTCAGTTTTCAGTGTGAGCATTCACACTTCGGAAATCAGTTAATTGTCTACACTTAAGAAGGTGATGGAGAAAATGGTAAAAATGTAGATTAAACTTTCAAATGTGTTACCGGCCCACTTTTTTGGAGAGTCAATTATTAAACATTTACCAGAACTCTACAGGCTAGACTACATAGTCTCTAAGGTCCCTGAGATCTGCATATACTTTCTCTAGACCCTTCTGGCTACTTTATGGAGCACTGCAGGACATGACTGATCAGATCCACTGATCTGACTGCATCAGGTGTTGACAGAATCCAAACCACTTTAAGCGACTCTGACTGTCCCCTCTCAGCACTCCCCTAGCAAGTGTGTATATGGTATGATGAGAGCCCATTCTTATTCACACAGAGAATCATAGATCTAAAACTGAAAGGGACCAACCCCCTGATTTTATCAAGCCAGCTCAGGGGCACAGGGGATAGAGTGCTGGACTTGGGGTGAGTAAGACCGAAGTTCAAATCCTGCTTCAGACACTCAAATCTGTGTGACCCTGAGCAAGTCAATTTACTTCTCTCAGACTCATTTTCTTCATTTGCAAAAGAGAGATCATAATAGGACGTTGTTGTGAGGACAAAATGAGAATGAACACACACACACACATACATATACACACACATATATTCATACATATATACAGATATATATATATTTATATATATATATCTGCAGATTTTCAAGTGCTATATAAATGCTTGCTATTTTATTATTAATTACATTATCAATATGTTTATAAAATTTAAAAGATAAGTAATGATAATAAAATATTAATAATAACATTAAACATTTATATAAAGGAAAGGGTAGTTAATAGCAGTTAGGAGAATGAATATTATGAATACTAATAATTACTATGATTAATTTTGCCCAAGGTCAAAAGGATATTAAGGGACAGGGCGGGGATTAAAACTCAAATATTAATTCTTTCTACTGTACTTTGCTTCCTCCATTTGTGTGAGGGGGCTATAGGGAGAGGACTGGAGGGGTCTTTTTCATGTGCAAGATGCACCCCTTCATCCCTGGATCTAGAACAGCCTTGGGACTCAGTAGGAACAGGATGAGATGACTTCTGAGGCTCCTTCTAGCTGTGTGAGCCTATAATTCCAAGGCTCCTATGGGGTGTGCAGTCAGAGTTATTACAGATACTCTCCTATAAAACTATAATTAGGGTTGGAAACCACCTTCAGCAAAGGATATGCAAATAAATCTGGTGCCACATAGAAAAAGCCACCATGGTTTTTTCCATTAGAATCAACCAGGGCATCACAGATAAAGATTTGGCCTCAGAATCAGGAACATCTGGATTCAAATCCTCCCCCTGACACACACTGTCCGTGTAACCCAGGGCAAGCCACCTAACCTCGGAAGTGTTCCCAACCAATTCTAAGACTGTAAGTTACAAAGAGGATGCTAATTTACATTGGCAGAGGAAGTTTCCCCACTCTGAGTTCTTTACACCAAAGAAATAACAGGCATAATCCCCCCAAAAGGTTTCTTCCACATCATTAAGAATCAAATGCATCTTTGAGCCCAAATAGAACAAACCGATTTCTGTCTACTTACGGTCTGCCAATTTCAGTGTAAATGTTCAGCAGTGCTCCTCCGATCAGGTAACCTGCTGCAGGACCAAGAATTGCAGCTGTATAGAAGATTGCTGTTAACAAACAAACAAAACAGATCAGTTAAATTGGGGGCTTGCATATTTTCCTTAAAGGGGTTATCCAGATTGCACTAGATAACCCTGCTTTGTTACCACAATATAACTCTAAAAATTTTTTGCCACTAAGGCTCTGGATGCTACATTTCTGATATGTCTGAGGTGTAGTCTCTTTCTCGCTTAGGGACTAGGAAGGCTTTGGGAGGGGAGGGATGGTGGAGGAGCACATGATGTAGTAGAAAGAGCATTGAATGGGGAGTCAGGAGACCTGGGTTCAGGCCGTGGCTCTACTGGTCAGGATCATAGATTTTTAGATGTGGAAGGCATCTCAGATCATCCACTCGAGGCAGTTAGGTGGCTCAGTGGATAGTGTACTGGGCCTAGAATCAGGAAGACCTGAGTTCAAATCTGGCCTTAGATACTTATTAGCTACGTGACTATGGATAAGTCACCTAACTTCTGCTTGCTTCAATTTCCTTATCTATAAAATGCGTATTATAATAATAGCACCTCCCTCCCTGGGTTATTGTAAGGATCAAAGGAGATAATATTTGTAAAGTACCTAGCCCAGCTATTTCCTTATTTCCTTCTTTTCTTTTCTCCCTCCCTTCCTTCACTTTATGAATGGCAAAAGGTATCTCAGAAGTTAGTAGACTCCCATTCACTGAAAGTCTTTGGACAAAGGCTGGACGACAACTTGCTGGGTATGAAGTAGAAGTAGATTCTGATTTGGATACAGGTTAGGACAGATTGTCTCTGAGACTTTAGGAAAGCTCTTTATATGTGGTTATATTTTCCAAAGATATTTTTATGGTAGCAGCCATAATACAAAGAGATCACATTTGAACTTTAGCTGGGATGTCTTCCCCATAAAGATGTTGTCACGGTAAGCATTTTCTGGGAAAGAGTTGCATAGTGTGGTTTGGGATCTGGAATTCGATGATCTAAGCTCAAATCTTTGTTCTACCCCATACTCCTTGTGTGACCCTGGGTAAATCATTTAATTTCTCTGGGCTTCAGTTTCTTCAGCTCAAAAGTAAGGGCAGTTGGATTAGATAGCCTCTTAGGTGTCTTCCATCTCAAGATCCATGGAATGCAAGCCTGTGTCATGTATATCTCAACATTTTCCTTACCTGTATAGATCCAGGAATAGTTTCCTGGATGCATAATGATGAAAAAGCCTTAAGCATTAACTCCTAGATGATGGAAAGAAAGACCTACCCAACAATCAAGTGGGGCCATTAAATCACAACAGACCAATTGAGGTCCTTTTGGTCAGTGATGGGAGGGCCAAAGCTCAGCGTTAACACTTGTCTCTGGTCTCATCAATTAACCTTGCAACTTTTTCTGAATGGAATTATGAATTCTCTACTGACTCACCCCTGAAATAAATTTATCCAAGTGACTCAGTTGAGCATTGTAACTAGGAATTTAACAGAAATGCTAGATTGGAATTCTTCTGTGTCTGGCACATCAATGACTCAATTCATCTAAGCTGGATTCAGCTGTGTTTGAAAAATTCAGAATCTCAATAATAACATCCCAATTTACTCCTTGGAGAGAAGTAGAAATATCAAAATTCTTTCAACATTAAAAATACTATATGCTCTATTTTCTATATAAAGATGAAATTACAAAATTACTTGGAACACGTGCTCTGTGTTATTTCATTAACAGTGATGGCTTTGTACTGTGTTTAGTTGTCATGACCGTGATGTGCTCTCTTCAAATTACATGTTTATGGGGATCTAGAATGGCAAGAGAGATAATTGTATAGATGACATTTCATGGGCACACTTCGTGCATTTCCTAATGTGCCAATTCAGAAAAATCTTTGCTGTTTTACTTATAAAAGTGGCTTCTACAATCTCACCTATGAATAAAAATGGAGAAAAATCTCTCATTTACACACACACACACATACACACACACACATGTGCGAGTAAATATTGAACTGGAACTCTGTAAAAAATATGTATGCCACATTTTAAAAGTTTAATTTCCATTATTAACATTTTGTGCATCACTTTCATAAGTCTAGACAATCAACAATATAATAAGTCAAATCCTGATTTAAAGGTTTTTGCCAATTTCTGAGACATAAATTAATGCTTACATTGAGAATTTAATAATTGCCTATCAAGAACCGGTACAAACTTACTCCAGCCTACCCATGTATCTACAGTGTCTATGCATATGCATGTCATGTTGTCTCTTATGTATGTTACACACACATATACAATCATATATAGATAAGAGGCAAATGTGATATAATGGATAGAGAGCCAGACTCAGAGTCAGGATAACCTGGATTCAAGTCTTTCCTTTGATATATACATATAGGTTGTGTGACCTTAGCAAATCACTTAATTTCTCAATACTGCAGATAACTTCCTAAAACTAACCTACATTGGTACAGGGAGTTTCCTTTATGGGAGAGTTCTTTACACCCATGAACCCACAAGTCAGGTCCAAATACATATAATTCTGATTTGCTTGGGTAGACACAGTATCACACTGGAAATTCCCTGTACCAATTAAATCACAGGTCTGGAAATAAATGTTCTGGGAAGTCCCAATGTAAAAACTCTCTATGCCAATTTAGTTCAATAAATCATCTTCAATGTATGATCTTAGAGAGTTGCCTCAGGCACCAAGAACATAATTAGTGATTTGCCCATGGTCTCTCAGCCTGGGTTCAAGTCCTTTCTCTGCCACATACTAGTTAGTGGTTCTTAATCTGAGGTCCATGGATCTTCAAGGAGTCCATGTATAGATTTCAGGGGAGCCATGAACTTGGATAAGAAAATAATTACATCTTTATCTTCACTAACCTCTAACCAACATTGAGCATTTCCTTTAATTACTTAAAAATATTATTCTGAGAAGGGGACTAAAGTTTTCACTAGACTGTGCCAAGATTCCCTGATACAAAAAGGTTAAGAACCTCTGCACTTTGTAATGTAGATTTCCTATTCACATGCAAACCTTAAAAAGGACACAACTCTGTTTCAAGTTGACTACATTTTTTCATTTATATAGGAAACTTAGATAATGAATTCTTTTTTTAGAATTTCACTCTTACCCATCCCCCTACACGAGCCTGCACTCGCGCATGCGCGCACACACACCCTTAATTTTTTTTAAAACCTGATATGTCACTTGCCTCTTTTTCCTCTCTTATTGGTAAGTTCCCTTGCTTTCAGAATGATGACTTATTAGTAGGCCTCGTCCCGGCAAAGCACAACATTTTGCTAGTTGCATACACACACACACACACACACACACATATTTTCGTAGCATCCCATTTGGTGATAGTTCATTTTCCATTCTAAGAAAGCCAGTGTTTGTAACTCCCATGTGTATTTAATAACCAAAAGACAACTTTTCATCGATAGGCTATTACACTTACCAATATAGACCGGAGAGTAGTTTGACTTGACATTTTCATCGAGATAGGTCACTCCCAGAGTGTACAGTGGTGTTGCACCAATCCCATGAAGGAATTGCCCGAGCATGAAGACAAACCTGTAGTTGGAGAGGCTTGAGGTACTTCCTGTACAGGATATATTCTGATTTGAGCCACATATTCCAAACTCTTCTGAGAAGTTCACTTCATAATTACCGGTGGTAAACTGAGGCAAAGCAAAGACAAGGGAGCCAAGCCCCATTACCAACACCCCCCACCCAAGCCACCTAGGTTTGTGTCCAGTGCCTCCAAAGTAGCTGACAAAGGTCAGACAGACACAAGCTGCTATGTCATACGAACTGGCAATAAGCCCACTCTGGTAGCTGTGAAGATCATAGCGACGTTCGATGGAGGTGATGACGGTGTTGATGAAGCCGTTCACCGTCATCCCCTGAAGAAAGGAGGCCATGCAGAGGAAAAAGAGTATTCCTTTGGGTGTATTGAAAAACTGTAAACAATCTGGGGTGAAAGCCCCCCAGCCACAGGCAATGTTTTCTCCCTCCGAAGACACATATTTGACTTCTTCACTACAGGGACTGGATTTACCAGATGTGGCACTGCAGAGGGGCTGCATGCAGGAGTCTAAAGGACTGTTGGCATTTGAAAGTACAATGCCATTGCTCAAGGGTGTGCGACATAGCTCTTTGGTGCCTGAAGAGTCGATGTTAAATCCATTCTCAACTGGAATGGGTACGCTGGAAAAAACAAATGACTGGGTTGAAATAAAGGTGTTTTCTCCCCTCGGATTTTGTGGCATTTCCATCAACAAGGGGATTCAGCCTTCAGTGTTCACAACAGTCCGATTTCCAGAGTTTCAAGTAAAAAAAAAAGTGATAATAGGAGTGGTTAAGTTTTAAGTGTCTGATCTGTGTACTTCTGAACGTACTTCATCCTGTAATAAGAATATTAAATTAGTGGATTCCAAACTTATCTTTGTGTGGATCTGTATTTCAGTCATTCCCCGTCCCCAGGCTAAGGGAAGCCTAAATCTCCAACCAATGGCCCTTCTTGCTAAAGTGCTACAGTTGGTGGCCAAACCATTAGCCAACTGATGAGTCCCACTGGGCCCTGAAATTGCATCACCCCTGCTGTTTCTGAGTACATTTTGTGTAGAAACAAGAAGAGAGACAGAGATAGGAAACAATGGAAAGAAATCTTTCAAATTTGGCTGATGCTGGAATAGAACATAGGACACTTCAGCTCTTTCTGAAGGACAATCCATATGCCCTGAATCACAGAAAACGGGCAAAGTACCTTGTTGATTTTTCACTATCAATCAGTTTGAAAACACCAAACACTCTGTGGGGCACAAAATATGTTGTCACTAAGGACATGGAACCAATTCCCCTAATGAAAAGGCAGAATTTCAGCAGCATGGGTCTTTAAAAAGTTTACATTTGAATAAATAATAGCATTTGACTGGAACCTTTTAGGACCTCTTCCATATCATCCTCCAGTAAAGTCTCCTTTTGACTTGACATTTTCATTGAGATAGGTCACTCCCAGAGTGTACAGTGGTGTTGCACCAATCATGATGAAAGATGATGATGATGATAATCCTGAGGTCTTAAAGGTTATAAAGTTCTAGCAAATCCTACCAAGTTAGAAGGTCTTCAGGCACAGGCCCAAAGACAGACTATTATACATTATATGAGGGCCAGCTAGCAAGCTGAAGAGAAACTGGCTACAATCAATCAATCAACAAGCATTTATTAAGCATCTACTGTGGGCTAAGCACTGTGCTAGGTCTGGGGATGAAACGTTAAAAAAATGAAAGTCTCTAGCATCAAAGTATCTACATCCTATTGGGGAGACAGCATGCACATGTATAAGTCTATTAAAATACATGCAAAATAAATAAAAGATCAGTTTGTCTCAGGTTGATGAGGCAGGGATAGGTAGGAGGTGGTGAGACAATAGCAGCTGGAGGTATCAGCAAAGCCTTTAGAGAGAGTTAAGGATTCAGGACAAAGGCAAGAAAGGAGTGCGTTGGAGGCATGGGGCAAAGTGGGGGAAGGTTGTGTGTGTGTGTGGAGATCTTACAAAAAAGGAAAGGAGATGAGAGATGGAATGCTTCATGTGATGAAACAATGTCAATTTGGCTAGACAGCAGAATACGAAGAAGGGGGTAAGCTATAATAAGCCGATTCTGCTCAGCAACTTTAAAACCTATGTTCTTAGGTATGGAGGTGCAAAGATCTGAATAGATGAAAGGATTTCCCTTATGGATGAAAATTACAGATCTCCAAACGATCGAAGCATGCATCCACAGAGGTAAAAAGTGTGGAATTGCTTTTCCTATGTGTGGTCATCTTTTGCCAATTTATGTCAATCAGCCTGACTGCCAGTTCAGCTCATTCCACTCAGGTGCGACAGACATTTACTAACAGGCCCCAAATAATTCACTCACTAATGAAAGTGATTTATTTGTGCTAAGGAAATGGCTTCTGCAGATGCAGAATTGGCCTCAATACGCGATGATTTTCCGCGCAGTTAAAAGGATCCAAACAACTTCTGCTAAAAGCAACTTCATGAATAAATTCAAGAGTGGGAAGAGTCGAAAAGACTGCACCTTCCTGAAAATTTTTCCACAGCCCCATCTCTACATACCAATTCCCCTTTTCACCTCACCCGATGACTTCAGTTTTCATGAGACAATTGCTACGCTCTTCTGCTTTTTTTTTCCATTCAAAAAACAAAGACACCAAATGGGGAAAGCTTTCTCTTAGGATGACGCAGGGAATTAAAAAGCAAGGAGAGAATGGCAGATTTCTTCCTGCTTTATGTATATTTAATGCTGGGAAAATTCAATAACTTTTGAGGGTGTGTATGTGTAAATATATATACATATAATGTATAAAAATATTATGTATGTGTGTATATTTGTATATATAGTATGCATATGTATGCATCTAGTATACATATTTATTATATATTATATGTATTATTTCTTTATTTTGGTCCAGACACATGATGAACAACTAGTTCAACTATGGAGGCAATCAATACCTGGTGTCAAAACTCCCTCCAACAATGCAAATCAGAAACACTTTGTAATTGACATGTGA